CCCATCAGGACCGAATGAAGAATTCGGATTTAGTTCGATGAGAAGCTTGGCAACCCAACTAGAGCTGCTTTCTATATGCTCTAAGGTGAGGAGGTTGCAAGCATAAAGTAACTGCTAAATGGCGGTTCAGTCAAAAGGACTGAAGAATACTACATGGTCAGAAGACCTTCTCTTGCATCATCTACGTAAAATAGAATATGATCTTAGTCGGAATACAAAGCAGGTATTCCATCACCGGCTTTCGTACGTCTCCTCAGAAAGGGGAGAAGTAGCTTGCGAGCGGTTAAAGATTCCTCAACTAAGCAGCGCTTGTATTGTGGTCGTTTTTCAAGCTTCTTTAATGTGCAGATATTCTTGACCGCTTAGTAGTCAGGGCGATAGCGTAATTTTGAACTTTTACAACAATGTGTGTCGTCGGCTCATAATGGATCTTAACTCACGATCAATTTAAGCAGGGCCTTTGGCGAAACCTTTCTCTTTGAAGGGTGGAACGACCTGAGTTATCAGTGACGTGAATTTGGGGTACAATAGACTCCAAATACCCTCAAGGTCTAGTGCTGCGAGATACTACAGTCTATAACGCCGGTGGCAGTTTTCAGACGGAGTGGAACAGCATGCCAGAAGTTCCGAAGGCATACTCCCTTATCGTGAATGGTGAAAAGCCGCATCCAACAAAAGGAAACCACTCAGTGGTCTCTTTCCGGATTGCTTGGCGAACAGTCAAATGGGAAACATGTGATTCTGCCGCTGTGAGCCCAAGGTCGAGGATGTGTGGCGACTGAACAGGACATAGTCTGGTGGGCATTGTAATCAGCTGAAGCAGATGTCAAGCAAACACAGTTATAAGGAAGTCTGTATCAAAGGAGTTGGGAGAGAAATCACAATGGAGTAATTCCCAGTCGATAACAGCAGGGTTAAATGCTCCCATGCCTACTAATAAATTTCAGCGACCTTATTCCAGAGCCCAAAGGGGCTTTGTAAACAACTCTAACCATAGGAGACTTGCATCCGTTATGTGCCCGCCACCATAGAAGTTCAAATCTATCTTCATTGTCACATATAGATTCAACAATATGACCCCTGAGGTCTTCTTTCCGGTATAGAATCACCCCACCTCCATGCATAGCACCATGGCGATCAACTCGAAGAAGCTTACACCCTGGAATACGGATCACCGAGTCCAAGATGTCCCAAAACAACCAAGTCACTATGAAAACCATAATGTCTGGTGGATTCTCAGAGGCAAGGAACTGAATTTCATCAAGTTTGTTTCGTAGGCTACGTACATTGGCAGATATCACCCTCAAACCATTCTTCAATCTTACGACCCGGGTGCGACAAAGATTGGCCTCCAGCGAACTCTCGAAGCTTTTTGTACCTCACGAAAATCCACAAGGTGGAAGTTAATCTCATCGTTTGCCCGGCGTGCTCGTAGCTCTTCCAGAGCTTTCTTAATTCGGACTCGATGCTCTGGGCAGAGGTCTCGCAATACGTAAAATGTTTCTTCATTAATATTTTGGGTCCTTCTGGGAATACGGCGACACTCATCCTCACTTCGACAAACAAGCTTGAGGGGAGAAAATTTAGAAGAATCTTCTTACTTTCTACTGAGGCGAAAAGCAGAGACAATATTGATCACTTGATCACTTTCATCAAAAAGAAGGGAGATCATCCGCGTCAGAAACTCCTGGTCGTCTAGAATCTTTTCAGCCGGAAAACCTTGTTAGCTTCAGGAGTGCTCATAATGATCAAACAACGGTCACGGGGAGTTGGTTTACTGCGTTCAGACTTGAGGTGCATATAGTCCTTAAGAGCGCTTTCCAATTAGCATACTCGGTCGATTACCAGCTTCGGTTAGGAAGCAGCGGATTTTTTGGATTTCGGCTTAGCGTCAGTTTTGGTTTTCTTCTCAACCAGCTTTGACTTGGCTTGGTGTGAGCACGCAAAGTGAATGGTTTTCCACATAAGGCTGGAAGGTTACTTGCGTCTTGACGCGCGATGTGTTATGGTACTCATATTGCACATGACAAGTAGTAATGGTATATTTGATGGTAACGCGAGATAGTCAGTAATGAGAAGACCGACTAGAACACTGCCTTTGCTTAACCGCAAAATACTAGATGAAATGAAACGTAGTGAAAGTGCAGAAAAGTGCAGTCGAAGGGAGTTACATCACTGACGAACGCAATCATATGCATACAAAGAGTGGTAACAATGTCGGAGTGTATAGATGTTTAAAACACCTGCGGAACCTCTTCAAATATGTTTGTATGAGAAGGATTAGTCGGTTTCCTAGAAAGGTTTTGCCATCAGTTAGATGGGCGACAATGATGCTGAATCAAAACAGAACAATAAATAAGTAGAAGCTTAAGTTTAATTGAAAACACACGTAAATTTATTGGTGCCATGCGCAGAGAAAAATTTTACTTCCCGGGGTGTTGGCGGCATCATTACTGAAAGCATTAAATTAGTTAATAAATAAATAGCTAAACAAGCAGACCGTGTAATACTCCACAGTGCGAAGCAACGTCCAACTGTGTGGTCTGATCAATTTGTACAATGAAATCGCATAAAATAGTTCATCGTTCACGTGCTACACAATATATCCCAAATAGGTGTTTGTAGTATTTGGCAGTTCGAAGGTGTTAGAGAGATCAAGAAACGAAGCACAATAAGAAATGCAGATTATACCAAAAGTGCAGCTAAATCAATACGAACATACATGGAACCATCCCCAGGGGACATGCTTCCATGCGGTTTGGCCCGCATTTTCATGCTATATCTCACTGCGTGTCGGTGCCGCAAAGTAGCAAGTGAGCCATCACCTGTTTAACGTACGATGTGTTATTTTTAGGGCTGCTTTTATGCATACATTATGGGCGATGAGGCCTCAGCGTGGTCCGTACTGCGGATCATCCAATTATGACATTATTTGTTATACGTCACAGCTTTAGTGGCAACGTACCTCGCATGGGTATAATTTTTGACTTGGATGCCCCAATCCGTCGCCTGAATGATCAGCCCGGTTCGACGAAAAATGCAAAAGGAAGAATATTAAGTATGAAGAAGTAAAAACAGTATAATGATTTGAAGATTTTGCAGAAATCTAATAACAAATTGATGGGAAATCTTGGCGAAGAAAGACGATGGTACAGTGAGTTCGTGAGAAACAATTTTGGATTCCGGCAAGGGTTTTGTAAAGAGCAAAGCGTAATAAACATAATCCAAATGCAGTTACTAGCATCACTGCACTTATAGGTGTTTTATCCCAATTCTCGACTAACTGAAATCGTCAGATGTAGAAGAGGATTAGTTCCTTAATTCCAGACACTCCGTTGCAAAGAAAAGATTCGTTAACAATCGTTCAGTGGAGACAAGAAAAAGGAATCTTGGATCATCGAGCGAGTACAGAAACCTAAAATATCGTAGATTTTGAGTGGTAATATAACTAGAGCGCAGAGATAGTCCAGTAATCTCCACCAAACGACTCCAATGCGGCTACTGTATCATATATGACCCTGTTCTCAAACAATCTATCATCATGATCTCTCCTGCATATGGGGCCCTGTACCGATTTCGTTAAATATACAAATTTATTTATTTATTCGCAAGTTCAGCGATTGTTTTACTATCGCTGTTGGGAAAAGGTAATCATTTTGTGGAATACGCTTAATTTTTTGCACGTCGCATGCGACTACGTAGCATATTCGGTACCAAGCCAAGCCTTATAATGTGAAAGTTCTGCCTGACTGTAGTCCTGACTGGAGGCGCTACAATCATACATTTTGTGTAGCGTATTTCATATCTGACTTCCAACCGAAGGTACATAAAGCGGTTTTCAGTATGTAAGTTCCTGCTTTCAGTTCCTTCACCGCTACTCACACGGACAAACCTCAGTAAAGGAAAGCCTCCACAGTATTCTGCAGTTTTGTTCAACCAATTCTTCGTAATCTGTCACTTACTACTGTTCAGGAGAGAGTTGAGTTTGGGCTGTACTCTAACTAAAGCAGCAATATCCAGCCGAAGTCACTTTGTAGTGGATTAAACATTGTGTTTTCTCATGGTTTGCGTGATATTTGTACAGTGCCATAAAGGATTAGCTCATTGCATTGATAAATACTTGTCTGGGCAGTCCGCTGCCGTGGGTTCAATGTCAGCGAGGATGCTTTTCTAAAGGGATGCTCACAAATTCACTTTACAAGGTGCGATTACTTTATTTCGCTCTCGAGTTAATTGCTGAGAATGAACCAAGTGATGAATTCCCATCCTCTCCGATTTTGCGTCTGCTTGAATGTTCATGGAAACGAGCGATCACCTTATCGGTTGCATTAGCTGAGTCTACCACTTTGTTAACACATAGCGCAATGGTCCACCTTGCTGGTAATTCATTCAAACAGGATGCACTTTTCTTTTAGTCGGAAAAGTCGTTGTGGTTGCTCACCCGATGCTCGCTAAAGTCGCGATTTAGTCAGTCCTATGCGATTTAAAAGTGAGGGCAATGAAAGCATTTCGTTCTGGTGATTAGCGTCTTGCTGCTTTTAGTTTCGACTTCCGAAAAATTTCGAACTTAGGAACACTACGTTGATTCGGATTAAGATCTCATGTATAGTATTACAACGATTACTATAACTCCCTCTGAATTTGACAACACCACACCCTTTTTCATTTTTCCCCTTTTGCCAGTCTAATACTAGCTAACCTGCAAGATTCTGAGTGTTGGCATGAAAATCAGACAGTACAGATTATCTAAGAAGGGTTTCGCTTCAATATATTAACGTTTAGTTCCTACGCTTGGTAAAATTGTTGCGCTAACGTCTAAGTAGATTTAGAAATTTTCACGTGCTACTTCTCATCATGCTTAAAGTTGTTGAGTAGAGATAAATGTCGGAAATGCTGCCCAAATGGCAAAAGTATAGAATAATTCATTCACCCGGAATTTCCGATGTTCTACCAATGTATTGCTTATGTTCCTGTACCCACAAACAACAACCCTCTGTTAGGCCTTCGGAGCAGTGAGTGCCATGAGCGACCGCATGTGCATTCACACCAAAGGAGAAGTGAAGAATCTGCGACTGAGCGCACGTGATCTATTGTCTTGCTGTACGAAATGCGGAGCAGGCTGTCTGGGTGGTTGGCCTGGAGCAGCTTGGGACCACTGGCGTGATGTGGGCATCGTCGACGGGGGAGCTTACAACGATACGAACACATGCCTACCCTATCCTTTTCCTCCTTGTGGTCACCATCACTCAACCAGCAGCCGGTATCCACCATGTCCTGAGGAATTATACTCCACACCGGAATGTGTCAATACGTGTGTGCCAAATACGCATAAAGATTTCAATCGGTATTATTGTAAGTCGGCTGTGTGACTTCCCCCACAATTTCCCTATTCGTATGTATTTATTACTATTGTAACTGACCAAACTAATAGTATGCTTAAGTAGGTTTTAACCATCTATTGTAAACCGTGCCCTAGTTTTTAGCTTCCCGCGTAGGAAAAGCAGGCTGACTTTAGTCACACTCGCGATTATTAGAAACATAGTGATTGCGAACTATTTCCGATGGCCATTTTATAAACTCAGGACGAAGAGGTCTCTTCACCTAAGTACAGCATCGTTTCTGTTTCCTAACCACCTACACAATGTTATGGTACAACGCTGTCCACACTGACGTCACAGTACATTACGACAATGTCTGTCGACTTTATTTACTGTCTTTTATCGACATGTCCTACATCTCATCCTGTGACACAAGACCCTAACGTTAGCTACATAAACCGAACAGATCGCACATGTGAACAACGCTGAAGTTGAAAGTCAAAAGGTGTTTCTTTCAAAACCTAAAGTTGCTGACAATTGGATGTCAGCCGATAAGAGCAGAAGCCCATGACTAAAACATGGAAGTGTGGGGTGTGTAGATCCATCATCCTTCATGGGACCACCGTGGATATCTTGCAACCTTGTTCTGTTAACAGATGAGGAGAGTGGAAGGCGGGCAACCACACTTGGCTGACCGAAATACCTCCACACTGTGACCGGGCAGTCTACTTTCAAAAGTTGGACAAGTTATGGGCTCTAATAACCATACAATTCATGTAAGATGCTAATTTCTGTGAGTCCCAAAGAGGAAAATGAGAATAAAACTTAGGACAAATAATTATTTTCGATTGATTCATCATCAGGTCATTAGAATAATAGACGCTAAGCTGCAAAGGGTTAGCTTACTGTACAGCAGAACAATTGATTAAACCTTTCAAAGTGATTTACCGACATTGGGCAGGTGACTAGGTCACGGATGTCATTTGAGTGCTGGGATGTGATCCCCTCCCTTCCTAAGTGACTGACCACGGCAATCGTAGCGATTGAACCCCCTTCCTTTGGATGCATAAGTTTGGATTCATCAGTCTTATATACACCGCCTATGCGGTAGCAAGCAGACGATTCCTTATTCTGTGATTCGAGTGCGGTGGCACTTTGTACCCAATGTCAAAAGCGGTTTGTTTCTCAACCTGGTGTCTGGTGTCCATCAGATGATTTGTTATTGAACTGCAGCTGGTTCAGGAGATATTCTTTGTTTCTCTTACCTAAGTGTTTGATCTTTCGGCCCATGTACCTAAAACCACGGGTACAGGCAAACCGATAATTTATCATTGACTAGAGAAGATTGGGCACTTGGTCTTCTAATCTTCGACCAAATAAAGGTTGACTCGTATAAATCATATTTAGATCAGCTGCATTAAACCTCTTTCTGAAGTTTTGTATCAGCCTGCTTTTACCGACTTCTGCTGCGTTGTCGCGCTTAAGAGCAAGAGTCAAATGCAGTTGTTTTTTGTTGACCGTTTACGTCTTTGGTTTGGTCCCATTATGCTTCACATGAGCATCAAAGAAGCGTTCGGGATATTCATTCTCGCGAAGCACTTGTTGGATCCGTCTCAGTTCGTCTTCAATAGTGTCCTCGCTACAGATTTCATATGCGCGGTTCGTTAGGTTGTATAATAGCGTTCCTTTGCGGCTCGGGGGATACAACTGTAAAAATTCATGTATTGATCGGTCCAGTATGTCTTTCAATACAAACTTATCTGGGTTGATCCATGCCGTCTTCTGTTTAACTTTTCATCAAGGAAATGCTTCTGATCATTACTTTCTTCTTCAATTGTAAATGCTGCTGAGCAATTTCGGTAAATTCCTTTGAATGGTTTAAGCAATTGTTCTGCTGTACAGTAATGTAACCATTTCCAACTTAGCGTCCATTATTGTAATGTCCTAATAGTGAACTAAAAACGATACGCCTAAGGCGTAATTCCTTGGCGAATCTGAGCGTAATAAATTCCAGCCTTCTGGAACGGGAACAGATTCAAGAGCTAATGATTCAATTAACCACCTCGAATGGCTGCGTGCTTTGCACTAGACAAGGTTATTTTAAGAAGGAGCCAAAAGAGAAAACCAGTGAAAACAGACAAAGTATGGCATTCAGTGCCCCAGTTATTAGGTGGGTCGCTAAATTGTAAATCCATGTGGAGTCAGTATCTTCGCCTGAGAATCAGTCTTGTAGAATTGCTAATTCAGTAGTGTGATGGAGAGGTCAGAAGCGGAAGTTAGCTCGTAGAAACTGATTGAAGTGAACGGAAAGTATTGGCTTACCTACCAAGCCACTCATTTAACTCTAAGGTCCACTGCAATGAGATGGATGAAACTGGTTTGCGTCTTTTCATGTAAAAATGCATTGTAGATGTTATTTATGCAACTTATGTCGCTCGAAATAAAACCCACTGAATGGTAAGTCTGTATATAGTTAGGTCCCAGTTTTTGGGTGTCAAAGCATAAATAATAGCAAGAAAATGACGAGATAAGACCTGGTAGGAAAAGTTTTGGCCGTTAAGTGACTACAACAATTCAAGGGAATGAAGCGTCAAATGAAGGAAAACAAGAAATCGGGGATCCGTATGACCACTTGAGGCGACATGCCAGCAAGGGAAAAATATATGTGGATCGCAACGACATCGTCTATTTATAAAGTCAGTGAATCCGACTACTTAGGTGTTGCTTTGTTTTATTTTCATTATAGCTACAAAGTTAGAAGCAGAGAAAAAACCGGCAGACACCGCAAGTCCTTAAGTGTCATATTGCATCCGCGTCTGCAGTGGAAAGCGGAGCTAAAGCAAGTAGAAGAGTTGGAAAATCCTTGCTTGGGGTCAGCAGTACTAACTAACCATTTCGTTCAATAGCACAAGCAAAATTGTTTACTGTTTTGCCTGGCTACATTATCCCCAACATTGAGTCTCTGTTCGTTAATGTTGGTTTGTGATCGGATATGGAGTTCGGTTCTTCAACCTGCGACACCGTAATGGGAGACGTCCAACAAGCAATAAAGAGCAAATAATAATGTTTAGTCCAGAATGCTCTACCGCGTGTGCGTAAATAACTATAGAATATCAGTAAAAAAACATCTACAAATAAATAAACGTTTTATTCCTCAACAATGCAAGGTACAGACCAATTGGGTGGTCTTATCAACATGTACAACGTGATCGCACAATATAGTTAATTTTTCGTCTTTTGATCAATGGTTCCAATATGGGCTTTTGAAGTGATGAGCAGTTTGGAAAAAGTAGAGAAATAAAGAAACTTGGAACAATAACAAATGTACATTTCACGGAAAGTTCAAGTAAGTAATACGGTCATCCATGGAACTGTCCCCAGGGGACTTGCTTCCATGCAGGTTATTCCCACGATGGGTTTCGCCCGCACATCCATGCTCCAATTGGCTCTGTGCCTGTGTGGCAAGATAGTAAATAGACCATCAGAACTGCGTATCAAATGTCTTTTTTTAGGGCTGTTTTATGCATACATTATAGGCGGTGAAGCCTCAGCCCTTTCTGTCATGCGGATCAATCAAGTATGGCACTTTTTTGTTTTAAGCCAGCGAGTCAGTAGTAATATGATTTGCATGGGTATACTTTTTTATTTTGGAAGCTGTAATCCGTCACCACAAGAGACCAGCCCAGTCAAGACCAACAGTGAAACAAAGAAGATAAAGTATGAGGAATTATAAAGCATGATAATGAATACAAACGCTTGTCGATAGGCCAATGACAATTTGATGGAAAATCTTGGCGAGTGACGACGACGGTACAGATACATCAGCTTGAAAGGTGTAGTGCATCTACGAACCAGTGCATCAAAGGAGGAAACAAAATTGGTTAGACGGATTGATAGGAGAAAGATTGTTCTCAAATACATACTCAAGAATTTAACTATATGTAGGTAACCTTATAATATTGAAACGAATAGAGGATATGGTGACTTTCATATGTATTCAAGACCTTTCTCATACAAATCATCTAAATTCACCGTGTTTTAGTCTTGACCAGATATTTGCAACAGTCTGGTGAATATTAATCATGCGTCTGAATTGAGGATAGGTAGTGCAGTTTCTAACACTAGATGGAAGTTTGTTCCATATTAACGCAGATTTTACGGAGAAAAAATTTGAGCGCAGCTTTGTGCGAGATTATGGTATTTACAATGTGCGCTCGCTGTTTGTTATTTCATAGCGCATAAGAGTCTGAAACTGGAGTTGTGGCTGAGCAGTGAAGCTTAATCCGAATAGTAAGCGGTATAGAAGGCACAGAGTAAGTTTGAGTCTGCGTAACCATAGCGGCTCCAGATTTAGCGCCTCGCAACGCTCACGGTATGTCATAGTATTAGGCAGGTTTAAAAACCTCTTTGTGAATGATCGTTGAATGTTTTTTAGTGCTATAATGTCCACTTTTCTCATGTTACTATGTACTATCCTGCAGTTCTCAAGCTTCGGCCTAACACATATTTTAAAGGCTTGAAGCCTGGAATCCCTCAAAATAAGAGTTCGACTTATGTAGACGATCACTTTTCTGGCAGAAGCCTGCAAGAATATAACATGCTCTAAAATAGTAAACGAGGCAGAATATCTTAGACCAAGGTCTCGGCCTGCTCCACACACAGGAATAGGGGTATCGTTTAATGTAAGGATGTTCAGAGAAGGGCCACAGCCGTGATACTATAGATGACTTTTGTCAGTGGCAAAGTGCAACTTCCATGAGTTACTCCAGTGCTCCAATGCGGATAAGTCAGACTGAATATAGGCTAAGTTAGGACTACATTGCCCATGGTCGGAACAATACACAAGTTTCACATCATCAGCGAAAAGTAACGGCTTCCCATACGAGATTTCATCAAGGAGATCGTTCAAATAGATTAAGAATAAAAGCTGGCCCAGCACGCTACCTTGAATCACTCCACTAGAGATTGTAGTGGCTTCAGATGTATAGTTACCGATTTTGACTACTTGCTTTCTACCCTCGAGGTAGGAAGACA